GGTCCAGGCAGAATAATCTTATTCTGAGATTACTCATGTGAAATTCTCCACTAAGATTATGGTTCATATATGTCCTATTTTATGACAACTGCAAATTCCATTAACAACCATTTTAGTTCTAAGTTTGGTATGAATTTGTTCTTCTGTTTTCTTTTTTTGTGTGTTCAGAAGTATGGCATCTGATACGGAAACATTGACATCGGTAAAAAGTGAGCTTGTTACACATGTGGAAACACAGGCCCCATCTGAGAATCTGGATTAGAATCTGTGTCTTCATAGAAGTTCATTTCATAGTGGTTGCTTTACACTTGAGAAGAAGTCGATATACTTCCAACCCACCGTCACATTTACAGCTGAGAAATATACACCACTGACGCTGAACGATGCAAACAAGCACTTAAAAATCCATATGCCTGTGTCCATGCCTTAATTTAATTTTTTAAATGTATATTTTTTTATTTCAGAGAGCATGGGAGAGAGAAAGAGAGAGAGAGATAGAAACATCAATGATGAGAGAGAATCATTGATCAGCTGCCTCCTGTACAACCCCTTGTGGGGATCCAGCACAGAACCGAGGCATGTGTCCTTGACTGGAATTGAACCTGCAACTCTTCAGTCTGCAGGCCGACACTCTATCCACTGAGCCAAACCAGCTAGGCCTATGTCTTAATTTTAAACTTTATTTTCTTATAAAGAAAAGTCTGTACTGTGGATCTATGTACATGTGTCATCCTCATTTGTCAGTGTCCGAAAACATCAGAAATGTTACTGATCAAAGTGATCTTATTGGGTGATACAGGATACTCCCCTAGGACCCAGCATCTTCTAACACTGTTTTCATGTTGGGTGACATTATGAACTCCACTGGTGACCTCTTGGTAAATGTGTCTTTTATTTCAGGGACCAGTCACCTTCAGGGATGTGGCCATAGATTTCTCTCAGGAGGAGTGGGAATGCCTGGACCCAGCTCAGCGGAAATTGTACCTGGATGTGATGTTGGAGAACTACAACAATCTGGCTTCCCTGGGTGAGGCTGACTTGATTCCGGAGTTGCTACTCCACCCCTAGGGTTTTATTTCCTTTATTATATTAACATCTCTGAGGGGCTTCTGCTTTCTGTGGTAGATTTTTGCTCCCCAGGAAGAAATTGGGCCCTAGCTGGTTTGTCTCAGCGGATAGGCTCAGTTGCCTGCAGCCTGAATGGTCCCAGGTCAGATTCAGGTCCAGGGCCAATGCCCAGATTGCTGCCTGGCTCCCCAATAGGGGGTGTGCAGGAAGCTACAGATCAGTGATTCTCTCATCATTGGTGTTTCTCTCTCTCCCTCTCCCATCCTCTCTGAAAACAAGAAATATATATTTTTTTAAAAGGAACAAATTGGGGATTTTTTTTATGTAGAAAAGAAAGGCTTTGCTATATGAATTAGGAACTCAATATTTGTACACTTTACATGTTGTCTACATGAAAGTACTATCAGAAAATAATGTTTTTGAATGTCATTTTGTAAAATATTTTAATATTCTGTCATGTCTTCTGGCCAGAGGAAAAACTGGATTTGAAATGGGAAAGCTTCTATCAAAATTCACACTCTATTTCTTTTATCTTTTGATTTTTGAAAACTTCATTGAATTCAGAGAGGAAAGGAGAATTACAGAGAGAGATAGAAACTTCAGCTGGGCATTAATTGATTTATTTGTATGTGCCCTGCACAGAGATCAAACTGTAGCTGTACAAGCGGAATGAAGTTAACTAGAAGAGGACATTCTGCCAAGAAAGGACGGGAGCCTTCAAGCAGGCCACGTCAGAACAAAGTCTTGTAAGCAAGACTTATTGTTCAGAGGCAGAACTTTCCTTGAGGTGATAAATAGTCCATAAGGGCGTGGAAAGTTCAAGGGAGGGCGCACTCCTGCAGGTGGAAAGAGTCTTTGTATAATATAGGAAATTAATAGTGTAATGGATAACTTAGCTCAGATGATCTCATAAGGATGCTTGTTAATCATTGTCACTTGCTGTACTCCGTTATTTGCTGTACTCCCTGAATAAAAGCCATGAGGGCTTTGGGGCCTTTTGCTCCTTGCCTGACTAGCAATAGCCCTCTGCTTCTCTAAACTTAATTCTGCACGCCAAGCTCATCTCAGTGTCTCCGTTCACAAAGAACATCAACACAAACCTACAACTTTATTATATAGGTACAATCCTCTAGGCAACTGGGCTACCTTTGCAGGCAGATTGGATTCTTTCACTTACTTCTATGTATCTAGGTTTCTATCATGTCTTTCCATGGCCTGATGTATTATTTATTTATAGTAGTGAATAAGAGTTCATTGTATGTCCTTCAGTATATTTATCCATTCACTTATTGACGGACTTCTGCATTGGTTCCAATTTTTGTAAATTATGAATAAGCAGCCCCTTACAGGCTTTTGTGTAGATAAAAGGCTTAATTCTTTGGTTTAAGAGTAAGGAGCCCAATTACTGAGTGTATATTCAGTTTTATAAAAACCTCCAGAGCATCTCTTCAAGGGGCTGTAGCATTTGGCAGTTTCAGCAGCAGTGATTGGAGTTCCAGTTGTTCCACCATCACAAAGGCATTTGGTATGGTCAATGTTCTGGATTTTATGACCTGTTCAATGGTGGTTTACTGTTGCTTGTCTGTGCTCTTTGTTACTTCTCATTGTTATAATGTGCATTTCCTTAGTGTCATAAGACGTGCAGGATCTTGTCACACCGATTTTCTATGTGTATATATTTTGTAGTGCTGTGCATTAAGATGTTTGGCCCTTTTCATGTTGGTTGATTTGTCCATGTTGAGTTTGAAGTCTTCTTGTGTGTTTAGCATAATTGTCCTGTACATGTTGACTTTTTAATTTAAATATATATATTAATGTTATAGAGAAAGAGAGAGGAAGAGGGAGATAGAAACATCAGTGATAAGAGAGAATCATTGATCAGCTGCCTCCTGCACACCCCCTACTTTGGATCGAGCCCACAACTTGGTATTGTTCCCTAACCAGGAATTGAACTATGATTTTCTGGTTCATAGGTGGATGATCAACTGCTGAGCCATGCCAGCTGGGCCATGTTGACTGTAACAAAATATTTTCTCAGCCTGTGGCTGCTGCTTTCTTTTTCTGTTGAGATTGCCATATTTATTGTTCTTGTTTTTTCTTTAATGTTTGAGTTGATACATTGGATGTTTCCGTTTTAATACAATGGATTGAAATACAAACTTGGTTATGTATTTTCCTTTCAAAAATGTGAGAGGTTTGAAATTAATGTAGTTTTATATTCAATAACATGGAACTTATATTTGCAGCTATTGTGTCATTTCTGGAATAAACACATAGTGAGTCTTGTCTTGAAGGACATGAGTTGAGATATAAATTTTGTCTCCTTACATGTCAAGTCAAATGAAGTCATTTAATTGATTTTAAACTAGGGGCCTGGTGCACAAAGTCATGCAGGGGTGTGATCCCTTGCCCTGGCTGGCCATCGCTGTATCGCCCAGTCCCAATCAGGGCCAGTCGACTCGGGCGACGGGTTGCGGGAGGTTGGGTGGCTGTGGGAGTTTGGCTGTAGGAGCTCACTGCGTTGTGTCTGTCCCCTGGTGGTCAGTGTGCGTCATAGTGATAGGTCGAGCTGTCGACTGGTCATAATGGTCGCTTAGGCTTTTATATATATATATAGATGGTACAGCATCATTATAGAAGTAGTCCTTTTTTTTCCAGTTTACTGTTGCAAATAGTGCTGCAGTGGATATATGTGTGGGTATATCTTTTTGAATTTGTGTTCTCTGTATAAATCCCCAGAAATGGAATCATTGTGTTACCTGATACTTATTTGTAAATATTGGAAAACCCTCCATCATGTTTTTCTGGTGGCTGCACCAATGTGTTTATAATCCTGCTGAGAGTGCATGAATGTTCTCATTTCTCCACTTCATTGGTAATACTTGTTGTTTTTTTGATTTATGGATGATTGGCACCCTGTTAGGTGTTTGGTGGTATTTCATGATGGTGTCCATTTGCATTTCTCTGATGATGAATGAGTTGAACATCATTTAATATGTCTATTGGGAATCTTTATATTCTGTTTGGGAAATGTCTATTCAGGTCCTCTGCCCATTATTCAATCATATTGACTTTTGGAACATCGATGAAGAGAGAGAATCATCAATTGGCTGCCTCTTGCATGATCAGGATCCAGCCTTCAACCCAGGCCTGTGCTCTGACGGGAACCAAACCATGACCACCTAGTTCAGTGAAGGCGAACCCTTTGAGCTCGGCGTGTCAGCATTTTGAAAAACCCTAATTTAACTCTGGTGCCATGTTACATATAGAAATTTTTTTGATATTTGCCACCATAGTAAAACAAAGACTTATATTTTTGATATTTATGTTATATATTTAAATGCCATTTAACAAAGAAAAATCAACCAAAAAAATGAGTTTGCGTGTCACGTCTGACACGTGTGTCATAGGTTCGCCATCACTGATCTAGTTCCTAGATCGAAGCTCAACCACTGAGCCACTGCTGCCAGGCAAATTTTTTGATGTTTTAAGTTGAACATATATTTCACTAATGATTCTACTGTATTTTTTAATTCTGGTACTATATTTTTCAATTTCCCCTTTGGTGTGATGCTTATAAAATACTTTCTCATTCTATTTTTACTTTGGTTATATAATATTTTGGTGACATTATTTAGTTGTCTTTTTTTTTTTTTTTACTTTTGGGCTTTAAGATATTTCGTTCCATTCTTTTTCAGGTAATTAATATATTTCCATTAATGTAGTGCCAGTTTGATTACATTTATTTTGTTTTCTTGATGGTACACTTTTTCTGTTTTTGGAATGACGTGATATCTTTTGTTGAGACTCCAGAATTGTATAGTAGCAGACTTTTGATCGTGGTTTCTGTAGGAGAAAACAAATGATAATCATCTGTGGAAGAAATTTTTTCGGTCCACACTATTTTTAGGATTTGTATTCTTGGTTCGGTTGTCTTTTTAATTTCCCAGTTGAAATGTTCTCTGTTTCTTTCTCAGACCCACAGTATCTTTTCAGGCTTCATATACATCTGCAGTACTGCAGTCTTTGTGGTGCTTGAACACTTTCTCATTATTTCTTTGTAGCAGCCACTACAGAGTACTCACTGTGTACTGCCATTCTGTTCTCACTCTGTGTCATGCACAACAGACACATGTTCTTCAAGGTGCTTCAAAACAGGGAGTCATTCAACA